AACACATTGAGTGGGTTTTGCATGCACTAAAAGATGCGGGGTTCAAAGTGGCCTTGGAGAAAAGCGAGTTCTTCTTGTCGGAGATCTCATTCTTGGGGTACGTCGTCACGGTCGATGGACTAAAACCGGATCCGAGGAAGGTGGCAGCAGTTTAAGAAGCCCCGGCGCCGGTCACACTCACCCAGGTTCGGGCTTTTCTAGGGCTGGCATCCTATTACCGACGCTTCATCAAGGGGTTCGCCGGTGTAGCAAAGCCCTTAACGAACCTGCTGAAGAAAGAGGAGCAGCTGATCTGGACGCCGGAATGCGAAGCGGCATTTCAGGCGTTGAAGGAGGCTCTGACATCTGCTCCTGTGTTGGCGCGTCCCGACCCGACAAGACCGTTCGCACTGTACACCGACTGGCAGCCGCAGGCGATATCGGCGGTGCTGACTCAGCACGGGGCGGACGGAAGGGAACACGTCATTGAGTATGCGTCCAAGACGCTGAGCCAGGCGCAGGCTAATTACGAAGCATGCAAAGGCGAATGTCTGGCGGTGGTGTGGGGGACTTAGCATTTCCGACCGTATCTTTACGGCCAGAAATTTGTGCTGGTAACGGATCATCAGCCGCTGCTGTCCCTACGCAACAACACGGACTACACGGGGACGCTGGGAAGGTGGGCGGTGCGTCTGCAGGACTATGACTTCAACATCCGCCACCGTGCCACGCGGCAGCATGGCAATGCCGATGGATTGACGCGCCTCCTGTCGCCCAACAAGTGTCCCGCCAACGAGCGACTCATTCCGTGGAGGCCAGAAGCCGCGGCGACGAAACCACGCTACGGGGAGCTACACGTGCTGCGCAAGGACGACGCCTGAGTCCGGAATGGAGGTTTCGCCGGAGATGGTAGACGCTATCTCTTTGCCCTCATCCAAATCCCTCGCTCTCTCGTCTAGTCCCTACTCGTCCCCTGAAACACATCTAAGTCCTGTTTCTTATGTACCTTGCCTATGGTCCCGGACCAAGAAGGGTCACATCCGGGAGGGCCCCGTTTTCTTTTGTGGGTGCAGTGTAGTCAGTGTCAAGCGGTCAAATCCCACGGACAATGCGTTAGGTACCGAAGTGAGAAGACGTGGGTCTGTCCCAACTGCAGAACGGACCAAGTCCCTACCGAGAAACGGTATCAGGACGCACGGACCGCCGACGGATTCGCGCCAAGTGGCCACTGGGCAAAACTTTGGATGGACCTTCTGTTGCTACGAAGGCTGTCAGGCGACTCGCTGTCAGAACTTACCAAAGCCGAGAGGCGGAGAGTCACGGAGCGGGCGCAGGACTATCGCTGGCAGGGACCGACGTTACAAAAACGAAAAGTCGATGATGGCGGAGGGACTAGCTGGTTGACGGTTCCGCACCCTTTCGCTACGGAAAAAGCCATCGAAAAGAATGGATGGTACTGGTCGGGAATTCGGGAAGATGTGAAATACATCGTCCAGAATTGCCCGGCCTGCGCGGCGGACAAGGCGCCGGTACAGATGCCTCGAACGATGGTGCCTACTCGTGTAGAGCGCCCCTTTCAGAGGGTTAGCATCGACACGACGGATATCAACGTTCCGAGAGGTCCCGTCGATCAGGGAGAGCTCAATGTTCTTTTAGTGGCCGTCGATCATTTTTCGAAATGGATCGAGGCGTACCCTATGACCAGTCGGAATTCGCAGGAGGCAGCCTGGTACGTAAACCAATTTTTGTGCATGCATCTAGACGTAGAAGAGGTACACATGGACAATGGGTCGGAATGTCAAGGCGAAGTAGAACGTCACCTAGTCAGGGCGGACGTTAAGATTATCTACTCGCCGGGGCATTGGCCTCAAGCCAATGGCCTGGTAGAGAATGCCAACCGACTGATTAAGACCGCTCTTAGACGGAATATCACTGCGGGAGACACCCGACCCTGGCCTGTTATTGTCGACCACATTTTGGCCGTCTATCGGGCTACCCCACATGGTAGTACTGGGGTGTCCCCCTTCCAACTGAGAACCAATAGTGTCCCTCGGGTGCAGTTGTCCCCCTTGGTAGGTACGGAAGTTAGAGCAACACGGACCCAACACAGAGATAAGGCCCGCCACTACATGGACTTAATGGCTAGGGCCTATCCCCCGTTAGCTCGCCAGCGACAGCGGGCCGTAGATCGGACGCATCAACGGCAGATCCGCGATTATGAGAACCGACATGCGTCCGCGGGACCACTTCCTCGCTATAAAATTGGGGACTTGGTGCAGGTACGAAAATCCGCATGCTCCTCCAAGATCCACCCGCGCTACATAGGCATTTACGAGGTAACGGAAGTTGGCGCACAGGGACAACACTCCGTGAAGCTGATTCCCCGTCACAACTCCCAGGCCCGACCGCTGACACGGAACGCTGCCGCGCTCCGGCCCTTCCAGCCATCGCTGGGCCCCATACGGACCCACGCTCCTGCGATATCATCCTCTCCTTCTTCGTCTTCCTCCTCTTCCCGATCTGGAGCAGGATGAACCATCGCCAGCCGGAGCATGAGCCCCTCGAGCATTTCCAGACGCCGCTTGCAGATCACTTGTTGCGGCATCAGTTTAATGAGGAAAGGCAGTTGCGGTACGACATTCAGCAGGTGAACGTGTCAGCGCCCGGGGTTGCTGATCTGGCGGCGTACTCGTTACTTTGCGATCGGTTGACGTATGCGGGGGTGTACGTGGACGTGACGCAGTTGCCTGGGCGGGAGACGACTTGAGTGTTCATCGAGTTCCGCGAGCTCCAGGTGGCACCCAACTTCGTGCATAGCGTCGCCACCTTTATCGGCGACTTGACGATCCTTCCACCGCCGAGTCGGGAGCTGGCGCAAAGTTTTGTGCGCGAGTACGCGGTGCAAGCGGCCAGATCGGTGGCCAGAGTGCAAGGACGGGGGGGACACCGATTCACAGCCCACGAAACGCTGCTGCGCAGGGCAGAGGACGGACCGATTGCGTTGGTGCCGCAGCTCCCCGCGCTTCTTCCTCCCGCTGCCCCTCTCAACTTCCAAGCTCTTCCCCCTGCCCCGTACTAAATGCCTCCCTTCTTCTCTTACACCACTCTCCCCTATCAACTCACGGAGGACCCTTATCCTATGCGCGAGTTCTCGGAGTATGTGGTGGAGCTAACTGACGTGGAACCGCTGCCCTTCGCAGACGAAGACGCGTGGGAGTTGCACCGTGCGCTGTACAAGTCGGTGGCGTTGGGGATGTTCCGATTCTTCGTGGATCACGAAGACCACTGCATCGGGGAGCACTTCGTCGTCTACTACGTCATCACACGGCCCAAGCCAGCGCAGAAGGAGGGGACGGTGGCGCTGTACCCATTCGCCCAGCTCCAGATGATCGATCCGGGATTGTTGGAGCTCATACATCTTGAGCTCCTCTCCATTGTGCAAGTGATCGCGGGCGAGGAAGAGGAGATCCAGCCACGATTGCGGACGGCGACGGCCCCGCGGAGAACGTACAACGCGGTCGTCATCCCGGATTACATTGCGCAGCGCGCGGAGAGGTTGGACAACTTCCCGGAGGAAAAGCCGTTGCGGCCTCCCTCGTCGTATCCCCGACCGGCGCCACCCAAGGCCCCCAAGAAGACGCCGAAGAGGAAGAGACGCCACCCGTCGCCAGGAGCGCAAGGCAGCAGAATCGGTGGCGGCAAGGAGGTGATTCAGCCCGCATGTACGTGGAATCTTGACCCTGCGCCTGGGAGTGCGGCGACGCTCGTTAAGGCGACTATCGTGCCATCGCCGCCCTTCCCACGCGTGCCCGATATCAATCTTGATGGAGCCGGGCCATCACCAGCAGCAGCAGCCGGGGGAGGAAGCCGAATGGGAATACCGGATCCCATATCCAGACCCCCCGTCCTCGCGGGACCTCTCCGCTCCCGCCAGCCACCCCGGGGTGCCCCGATCATTGACATTAGCAGTTCCTCCGAGCCGGACGGTCCATCCGACAGAGGTGGATTTCATGGTGGAGCCCACCACCATCAGGCTCGAGGTCATCGCGGGGGCTCCGCGCCCTGATCCGGCGTGGGAGCCATATCTGACACCCCCTTTTCAAGGGTGTATTGCGGGGCGATTGGCTGGGACGCTTATCTACGAGACCAGGCAGCGTCCCAATGTGATGTACCACTTCCTTGTCTTCGCGGCGCAGAAGCGGGAGCGGCGGCCTTACACCGAGACTCATGTGGTGATGACGGGTCCAGGGCCCCGATTGGTGCGCAAGCGGGTGGTGCGAGCGGTGGCGGATCTGGCGCCACGTGTCCTGTCTCATGTGTCGGGGGCCTTCCTCTATCCCTCGTTCGTCCAGCACCACTTCCAGGAAGAAGATGCGCCGACGACTCCCGCGGCAATGGCCACTTTTCTTCCACCTATTCTGCCCCCTCTCAATCCCGACATCGATCACTTCCTCTGATCACCCTCGTCTACCTCTCCCCACTTCTCTCCTTCTCCTTCTCTTCATCATCTTCTTCTCCTATGCCCAAAGTTCGCGCGTCGAGACGCGCTGTGTAAAAAATAAATAAATAATAATTTTATTATTATTTTTTTTTTACCGATCGGGCCAGCTGACGATGAAGGAGCCGCCCAATCGGATGTATACTATGGGAGGAGGCGATGGAGGATGCAAGATGCATCCACGTAGATTAGGAAGATGATCGGGCCCACTGACGATGAAGAGGCCGCCCGATCGTCTAAGACATGATGACCTCAGCAATCGGGAGACTGCTAATTTTTTGGAACCCCCTGCGTATCACAAATGTGATAAGCTCAGACCCGTACCGCGCGGCTTCCCGTATCCCTGAGGAAAAATCCCCCGGAAGCCCCGAGGCACGGATGTGGACAAATAGGGGTTTTTCTTTCTTTTTGCTTTTGTTTTCTTTTTGAAACGGCTTTTTCATTTGTGGTTAATAACTCCCGCGCGGGCGAATAGCGGCCGCGGTATGAAAACCAAGAAACGGTTTCGGTGGGGTCTTTTTGAATTTTTGCGCGCGCGCGCCTAAGCTCCGACTTCTTCGCGCGTCTTGCACCCCTGTTTCTTGCTTTGCATCCCCGCGCCATCTTCCCTTCTTGCTGCGCGCATTTCCCCCATGCAGGACTCTTCGTCTTCCCCTCCGCCCAGCTCGATCCTTACTCCGCGAAGTGATTGGCCGCGTAGTTGGGATGCTCGGATCAATGTGGAGAGCGGGAAACCGTGCACCACTTGAACGGACACCCCAATCACGTAGGACCATGCCATCCCGCGGGTCGAACCCTCTAACTCCCCACCTTCCTCCTGTCCTGCTCATCTA